AGAGAACAGTTCAGAGGTGTGTGTTCCCGGCGCTGCACTACCCCTCAGCAGCAGCAGCAGCTGCTGCTGCTGCTGCTGCAGGCGCCGCCGCATGCGTGCCCTACACTGCTGCAGGCCCTCTAACGCAGCCTGCAGCAGCAGCAGCAACAGCAGCAGCAGCAGCAGCAGGGGCGAGTGGCGCATCATGCGGTCTGATAGATGCGCAGGAGGAGGTGTTGGAGGTTCGGCTGCTGTTCGTGCTGCTGCTGCTGCTGCTGCTGCGGCGGCAGCAGCAGCAGCAGCAGCAGCGGCTGCCCTACACGCAGGACCACTGGTTCGCCCCTGGCAGCAGCTCCCCCAGAGCCGAAGGGGGCCCCCTGACCACTGAGGAAGTTGCTGCCAGCAAACCCAGCAGCAAGTGAGACGCGCTGCTGCTGCTGCTGCTGCTGCTGTTGCTGCTGCTCTTTCTGAGGCTGCTGCTGCTGCTGCTGAGGCTGCTGCTGTTGTCGTTGCCGTTGCTACTGAGGATGCTGCTGAGGCTGCTGTTGCTGCTGCTGCTGAGACTGCTGCTGCTGCTGCTGCTGAGGCTGCTGCTGCTATTGCCGCTGAGGCTGCTGCTGCTGCTTTGGCGGAGGGAAGGGGCTGGTGGCATTGCCTTTGCGCTGAGACCTGAGTAGAAAACAGCAGAGCTGCTGCTGCTGCTGCTGCTGTTGCCGCTGCTGCTGCTGCTCGTGATGCAGCAGAAGCGGCCTCCTAGATTCCTCCAAAGTTCGGCAGCACCTGCTGCAGCACCTGCCGCAGCTGCTGCAGCTGCTTCGCTGTGAGCACCAGCCTCAGCAGCACCTGCAGCAGCTGCAGCAACTGCAGCAGCAGCAGCAGCAGCAGCAGCAGCAGCAGCAACAGCAGCTAGACAACGACGACTCTGTTGCGGCGTTTGAGATGGAGGCCCTCGAAGCCTTCTTAGACAGGTGCGCTGCTGCGCATTGCAGCTGCAGCTGCTGCTGCTCCTGCGTTTGTTGCTGCTGCTGTTGCTGCTGCTGCTGTTGCTGCTGCTGCTGTTGCTGCTGCTGCTGTTGCTGCTGCTGCTGTTGCTGCTGCTGCTGTTGCTGCTGCTGCTGTTGCTGCAGCTGCTCTTGCTGTTGCTGCTGTTGGCGTTGCTATGGATTTTGATTGCGGCCAAGTCGTTGGAGCAGCAGCAGCAATAGGACACAGCATGTGCTGCTGCTGCTGAATTTGCTGCTGCTCGTTTTGTGCTGCTGCTGCAGTGACAGCCCCGAAGGCCTTTCCGCTGCGACTAGTGGAGACAAACAACAGCAGCAGCAGCAGCAGCAGCAGCAGCGGCTGAACCCCTTCATACTCTTGCCTAAAGGATACCTTAGAGTGAGCAGCAGCAGCTGCACATTTAGGTTGCTGCTGCTGCTGCTGTTGCTGCTGCTGCTATTGTTTCCGTTGCTCTTGATGCTTCCGCTGTTTCTTCTGTTACTGTTGTTGCTGCTGCTGCTGCTGCTGCTGCTGCTTTCATTGCTGCCAACTTTAGTAGAGAAGCCCCATGGGTTGATCGTATAGCTGGAGGCGTTGAAGCACCTTTATTTGTTTCTTTGGGCCTTAGGGTTTAGGGTTTAGCGTTTCGGGTCTAGGGTTTAGGGTTTAGGGTTTAGGGTTTAGGGCTGTGGCGTGTGTGCTCAGCGCCTGCTCTTCTTCCCAGGCCGCTGCAGCTCGAGTGCAGCTCTGAGAGACACTTTCCAGCAGCGGGTATTCAGCACTAGGGTTTAGGGATCAGGGTTTAGGGTTTAGGGTTTAGGGTTCAGGGTTTCGGGCGTAGGGTTTAGGGTTTAGGGTCTGCAACTTAGGCCCTTTGGTGTGTGGCCTCGGCACACGCGGCGAACGTGCAGACTTGTGCTTTTTTGTTCTTTTTGTGTTTGGTTTTAGACATTAGGGTTTAGGGTTTAGGGTTTACGGTTTAGGGTTTAGGGTTTAGGGTTTAGGGTTTAGGGTTTGGGGTGTTCGTTGCTCTGGAACTGCAGAGGCAGCCAATTACCCCTTTAGGAGATCGCTGCCACATTAAAGGCCTAAAAGGGGCTCTGAAATGCATAACTTCCGTAAGCCGAGGGTTTAGGGTTTAGGGTTTAGGGTTTAGGGTTTAGGGTTTAGGTTTTAGGGTTTAGGGGATTAGATTGAGAAGACACACTTTACCTCAAGGTAGCTGTTCCACTTCTGCTTTCTCGCCGCCGCTTCGTCTGCCTGCAGTTTAAAACCCAGGGTTTAGGGTTTAGGGTTTAGGGTTTAGGGTTTAGGGTTTAGGGTCTAGGGTTTAGGGTTTAGGGTTTAGGGTTTGCGTCTCAGGCGACGCTAGGCCCAGCTCAGATCTTGCGGCTCTCTTCGTGCAGCAAATCGGACATCTTTGTATCTCGGCCGTGAGGGTTTAGGGTTTAGGGTTTGAGGCTCGGGGAACGCTAAACCCTAGCCCCTGAGTCCTAAACCCTAAACCTTCAACTTTAATCCCTAAACCCTAATATTATGCATTTAAGAGCCCCTTTTAGGCCTCTAATGTAGCAGCGATCTCCTTTACGGGTAATTGGCTGTCCCCTAGGTCTAGGGTTTAGGGTTTAGGGTTTAGGGTTTAGGGTTTGTGCGTAGGGTGGAGGCGCTGTTTCTAGAAAACCTCTCGAGCTGCTCCGTCGTCGCTCCAGCTGTTTTTGGTCCTGTCTTTATTCGCGGCTGCTGCGAGCTGCTGCTGCACTCGCGGGCTTCCTCAGTGTTGTGAGGGTTTAGGGTTTAGGGTTTAGGGTTTAGGGTTGGGGTTTGGGGACAAGTGCGTCCAAGCGCCGCTTCTTTTGCTGCTGCTGCCAAACCCCCGAAGGAAACAGTGCTGCTGCTTCGCCAGATTCTCCGGACTGCAGCAGAGCGCCCGGGACCCAGGGTTCAGGGTTTAGGGTTTAGGGTTTAGGGTTTAGGGTTTAGGGTTTGTGCGCAGCGTGGAAAACACCCTGGGGGCAGAACTTTTTGTGGCTTGCTGCTTTCCCCCTCTTCTCCTTGGAGACAGCAGGGGCCTTTCCCTTGGCCCCTACAATGTCATTTGCCAGCCGCTGCAGCAGCAGCAGCAGCAGCAGCAGCAGGAGCCGCAGCAGGAGCTGCTGCAGCAGGAGCTGCAGCAGCAGCTGCAGCAGCTGCAGCAGCAGCAGCAGCAGCTGCAGCAGCAGCAGCAGCAGCAGCGGCCAGATGGGATGCGCGATTCTGCTGCTTATGCCCCGTAATGCGCGGCCCTGCAGCTTCACTTTCAGGCTTTAAACCCTCTCACTAAACCCTAAACCCTCGCTGCAAACCCTAGCTCTAAACCGTAAACCCTAAACCCTAAACCCTCGAAGCCGCAGCAGCTGGACCTCTAAAGCTCCCGGGGTGGCTGCAGGCGGCGAGTCTTTCCTCCAAACCCTAAACCCTCAACTCAAACCCTAGGCCCTAAACCCTAAACCCTAATTTGTGGTTTGCTGCAGGCCTCTGGCCCTCATAGTCTCTTCTTTCGCCTTTCCCATTTGCCTCTGCACCAAATTGGGAGACGGCGGAGAGCCAAAAGGGCTAAACCCTAGCCCCTACAAGTTGATTTCTCCAAGTCGATTTCATGTACTAGGGTTTAGGGTTTAGGGTTTAGGGTTTGGGGTTTAGGGTTTGGGGTTTGGGGTTTGGGGTGTGTTGCTGCACGCTGCTTCGCAGCGGGAGTGCCGGCCTGGGTCGCAGCGCGCAGCGGCGAGGGTTTAGGGTTTAGGGTTTAGGGTTTGTGTTTGCAGATGGTGCCTGCGGCGTTTGAAATGGGCGAGAACGAGGGTTTAGGGTTTAGGGGTTTGCTGCTGCTGCCGCTGCCACAGCAGTACCAGCAGGCGCTGCAGCAGCAAGCGAGACTTGTGGGCCAAAAATAGGATAAATAAATTAAATAAATAAATTAAATTAATTAAATTAATCAAATTAATTAAATTAAATTAATTGAATTAGTTAAATTAGATTAAATTAATTAAAAATACCGTAAGGTCTAAAATAGGCCCTTTAGTTTTGGATCGCCAAAGCAAGCCCTAAACCCTGAACCCTAAACCCTAAACCCTAATTTGTTGTTTTGAGGCTTTTGTCTTCAGGCCCGCAGCAACCAGCAAATGATGAAATGCGGAGACGAGCAGCCGCTTTCTCTGCTGCTGTGTCTTATGCTGCTGTGAGCCAAACCCTAAACCCTAAACCCTAAACCCTCGTAAACCTCCCTCGGCCGCGAAACCCTAGGGTTTCTGGCAAGCAAACCCTAGCCTCAACGAGCCCCGCGAGAGGCGGCTTCTGCCTACACTCTGGCAGGCCTTGACAAACCCTAAACCCTAGACCCTCGCAAACCCTTTTTTGGGGTTTGGGATCTGCGGGGCCTCAGGGACTTCTGCAGGCGAAACTCGCCCAAGACCCGGCGCTTCTTGCAGCACCTTAGCAGGCGGGCAGAAGACCAAGTGAGGGTTTAGGGTTTAGGGTTTAGGGTTTGGTGCTGGCACTGCTTCTAGGGACTGAGGGTTTAGGGTTTGGGGTTTTTTGCTTGTTTGATCAGGGAGAAACCCCACAAGGACATTCTTCTTGAAGCTACAAACCTGAAACCCTCCTTTGAGGGTTTAGGGTTTAGGGTGTAGGGTTTGGAGATTTGAAAAAAAGGTTTTGCGTTTCGGCTTGTCAAACAGTTAGGGTTTGGAGTTTCCCAGACTGTACAGTTTTGACTTGTGGTTTAAACCAGCTTCTGGAAACCCTGTCGAGGGTTTAGGGTTTAGGGTTTAGGGTTTAAACGCCCAGTGGGCAGCAGCTTCCAAAAGAGACAGAGAAACTTAGAGAAGAGGCCTGGCAGAAAAAGCCGAGGGTTTAGGGTTTAGGGTTTTGAGATTGTTTTCTTTTTCCCGCCTTCGCTGGCGCTCTGGCAGCGGAGGTTGTGGCGGTTGTTTGCTGCTGCTTCTGCTGCTGCTTCCTCCTCTGCTGCTGGTGCTGGTGCTGCTGCTGCTGCTGCTGCTGCAGCAAATGGACTTTTGCTGCTGCTTCCCAGCTGGTGGTTTCGTCGGCCCACAAAACCCTACAAACTGTTCCTTCCCCTTCTATGCTGCAGCGCTCCAGCACTTTCTTCAAAACCCTCGCCTGCACACACGCGCACTGCTGCTGCTGCTGCTGCTGCTGCTGGTGCTACTGCTGGTGCTGCTGCTACTGCTGCTGCTGCTTGTGCTGCTGCTGCTGTTGGTGCTGCTGGTGCTAGTGCTGCTGCTGCTCCTGCTGCTGCTGCTGCTGGATGTGTGGGCCGATAACAGCACTAGCAACCGGAGATACGGCACGGCAACAACTAAAACAGCAGCTGCAGCAGCAGCAGCTGTAGCAGCAGCAGTTGCAGCAGCAGCAGCAGCAAGGGTCAAATTAACAGTAATAGTGCTAAATCATTTGCAAAAGATATAAAGAGAAGCAAAATCGATGGGGCCCCACAAAAGTGCAGCAACAGCAGCAGCAGCAGCAGCAGCAGCAGTTTGTCATTTATTGAAGATGAAATTGAAAAGGAATAAAAGAATTGAAAATTAAAAACAAGAATGAATTTAATAAGAATGAAAAAAATAAAGGCTAAAAACAGCAGCAGCACAAGCTGAGGTGTGCATGCACTCCAACTGTAAACCCTCGAATTAAATTTAATTCTTACAATTAAATAAATTAAAATTATTTAAATTATTTTTAATTATTTTTAAAATAATTTAAAAATAAATAATAAAAAGAAGAAGAATTAGAAGAATTAAAAGGAAAAAGGTGTAATAACAGAACAAATGAGTAAAAGCATAAATTATAGTAAAATAAATAATACAACAAAAAATTAAAAGCAAAAAATGAATAAAAAAGATATACTAATAAATCCACTTTTAATTGCAACAGCAGTTTCTTTGTTTATAATTAAAATATTAGATTTTAAAAGTGCATGCAGGACGCATGCATCTCCGTAAACCCTAAACCCTAAACCCTAAACCCTACACCCTTCAAAACCACCCCCCGCTACTCACTCTCTCTGTCTCCGTCGTTTTATTCCTTTCCATTTTCTTTTCTTTTTCTTTTTCTTCATTTTCAATAATACTTTTCTCATCAGGGGCCCCCCTACTGGGGGCCCCCCTGCTGGGGGCCCCCCTACTGGGGGCCCCCCTACTGGGGGCACCCCTGCTG